CAGTGGGGGATAGGGGAGGTGGGGGGAAGGTTAAGGAGGGGGGAAGGAGACATATGTAATACTCTTTGTAATACTTTAAGCAATAAAACAAAATTTAAAAAAAGTTGAGATATTTTTCCAACATTAAAGGAAGGAGGTAAAAAAGGACTGAACTAGGATAGTGATCAATAGAACGGAGAGGAGAAGATAGATGCAATACCGATAGGTACTATGGGATAGAATAGATGAGGCTAAAGTCACTGAGTACTGGCACCATGGAAAAACGTGTGATAGTCAAGAGAATGCTTCACGAAGATTCATCTGGTTCAACGAGCTGGGCAAATTAGAAGAGGGAGAGATTGGAGGTAAGGAAGGTAGATAGGAGTTTACTGATGTCTTGGTTCAAACAAGCAGTGGGAAAAGGAAGGACAGTTACAATTCATGTTATGAGAAGAAAACTGCTATGACTTAGTGACAAAGCAGGTGTGAAGGGTGAGAGGGCTGGAAGTGACTGAAGTTTCAAGCCTGAGTGAGTAGCTATTAAAAGAAACAGAAGTTAGAATGAGAAGTTAGCTGGAGGGGAAACATCACAGTGAGAAACAGAAGGCAAGAATGTTACATGGGGAACTGACAACACCAGATTTTAAAAGAACATATGAAAAAGGTGTAAGAAAGAATACAAAACCAAGGGTGAGTTAAAGAAGTGCTAAAAACTTCTACAAATAGAATCAGGAAGGTTAATAGTCTTGTCACATAGTAGGTACTCAAAAAATGTTTTGTTATTGAGCGAATGAGCTGAGCCTTGTGGAAAATTCTTCTCTCTATAACACCCTGCCCTTCAGGCTTTATGTTGCTTGGAGAAGATGTCATGTGAAAAACAAGAAGGAAGAGCCATTCAAATGCTACTTTGCTTCTCTCTTTTCCAGAAAAAGAGTGATCTTTAATCTGGATGAGGTGGAGCAAACATAGAGTAGAGGGAACAACAGTAGTGCAAGATGGGAGAGGAGCTGGACAAGTGCCCAGTCCCTTTAATTCATGTCCAGTGATGCACGGAAGCATGGGGATGTGCAGTGAAGGGAGAGTTAGTCTCAGTGATGTAGTCAATTTATCTGGCTACATCCTGAGTAGGAGTAGGAATTCAGCAAGACATAAAAAGCATTGGCTTTGCAACCCACAGAACTAGATTCAAATTCTGAGGTAGCCACTTTGGTAGCTGTGTGAACTTCAGTAAGTCACTTGATCTCTTCAGATGTCAGTCTTCCCCATTTGTGAAAACAAGGTCAATGATCCTTATTCTCACAGAGTTGCCGTGAAGATTAAATGAGGTAAAATATACACAACCTGGGTTAAGTGACAGACACTTAGTAAGATGAACATGCTGGTACACATATCTTTGCTCCTTTTCTGATTGTTTTCTTGGGTCCAGAGATGGCATTAAAGTGTGGAAGGGTACCACTCTCCAGAACATGTACACTCCCTCCAGCTGTGTATTAAAATGTACAGTATTTTGTTTTGAGCCTCTAACAGCCAAACAAGAGTAAAACTAGATTGGTTAGAAAATCGAAAGCCAAGCTGGGAGTTCTAGTCACAGAGCTCCACCGAAACAAGGCCCAGATGTTGTTGGGTGCAGCATTATAAATTTACTTGAGCTTTTCTATGAATATGTTACTGAGGATTAAATGCAGAATTGTAGTAGGGAGGAGACAAGACATACTTGGGAGAGAGGCAAGACATACTCCTCACCAAATCTGGTGGCTAGAGGGGATTCACAGACCAACACCAACTGGTTCATCCCATCTAGCAGGGAAAACTTCCTGTTCTAGAGCCACCACCAAGAACTCCATACAAAAAAAAAGAAAGAAAAACATTCATGATACAGAGGGGAGAACTAAGAAATGAAAAATGAACTAGAAGGATTCACAGCAAACTCATGGTTGGTAATTGCCAGGGATTAGGCAGAGGTGGGAAAGTACCTTTGACATTGGGGATGAAATGTACTTCAAATGTATTGGGGAAGATTTTATTACATACATAGAAATACATATAAAGGCTAAAAGCAGATATGTCAACATGCTAACAACTCTCAATTCTTGGAGCTAAGAAAATTTTTTACTTCATGCTTATCTGTATTTTTAACTTATTTAAGATGAAAAAATGAAAAAAGGAGAGATTACTGTAGGGGACAGTACATTGGTAAAGGATTCCTGGAAAAGATGAGGTTTGAGGCAAACTATAAAAAAATGCACTTTGGGCCTAGCCAGTGTGGATCAGTGGTTGAACATTGACCTATGAACCAGGAACTCACAGTTCGATTCCTAGTTAGGGCACATGCCCAGGTTGTGGGCTGGATCCCTGGTGGGAGATGTGCAGGAGGCAGTGGCAGCCGATCAGTGATTCTCTCTCATCATTGATGTTTCTACCTCTCTTGCCCTCTCCCTTCCTCTCTGAAATCAATTACATACACACACACACACACACACACACACACTACTTTGGATGGCCTCAGATAGGAGCTTTCTGTTTGAAAATAGTCCCTGTTTTTCAGAAGTCAGTTAAAGATATAAAAATTACCTATGTGAAACACTCAGATTCCAACTCACAGTAACACAGAATTGAAAGTTATATCCCTTATTGCTAATAAAAGAGAAAGCAAAAACAAAATTACTTCAGAATAAATAATTCAGAGTTTTTCATATGACTTAAACTCAAAAATAAAAAAAGAGCCGATGTCTGTTTAAAATACTATCATGTACTGTAAGACTGTACTGAAGCCACTTGAGAGAAATTCCTCCTGAGTGATGCAGCATCTCCGAGTCCCGAGGAATTGGGTGGAGTAAGTTGTCAGCCGAGCTGTTGGGCTCTAAGAGTCAGAATATATCTGTTGTCTCTGCTCTGCAAAGACAGGAGATGGGTGTTCTGCAGATCGGAAACAGGAACTCAGTGGGTGGACCTAAAAGGGAGTGTGGGCTTTGAAACAGGAAAAAAAAGAAGTCTGCTTCTGATAGTGAAAGAGACGCATGGCTGTGCTGTTCCGATCACACACATCCTGCTGGGTCAAAACTCTAGTCTGTAACCACTAGCAGTTATACACGTCCTTGGGTTATCTTGGCAGTTGTTTTATTTTGCTTTGTAAGTGTTGTGTTACTGCTTCATGTATGTGACAGTTTCGCCATTTTAGGAAATGCCATACACTCACTTGTTCAAATCAGAAACCATGCAGTTATTTGATCTTTTCCTTTTCCTTGCTCCCCACATTCAATCCTTCACCAAGTTCTCATTCTTTCTTTAAAATTTAATTATTTAATTAGTTTACCTTTCTTTTTTTTTAAAATATATTTTATTGATTTTTTACAGAGAGGAAGGGAGAGAGATAGAGAGTTAGAAACATCGATGAGAGAGAGACATCGATCAGCTGCCTCCTGCACATCTCCTACTGGGGATGTGCCCACAACCCAGGTACATGCCCTTGACTGGAATCGAACCTGGGACCTTTCAGTCCACAGGCCGACGCTCTATCCACTGAGCCAAACCGGTTTTGGCAAGTTTACCTTTCTTATCTTGACTTCCAATATTGGAGTCAAAACCACTGTCATCTCTTTCTCAGGCGACTGCAGTGCCTTCCTGCCTTGTTTTCTTGCTTCCATTCTTGCCTCTGCCAGTTCTTTTCCAAATTTTGGCCCAAGTAATCTTTTAAAAACTTAGATGATTCATTCCTCAGGCTTGCTTTCTGTGCTTAAAGTCCCGTATCCTTAATCTGGCCTACAAAGCTTTGCCTGGTTTGACCCCCAGTCACATGTCCTCCCCACCTTTTGGTTCTCTCCCTCACTCTGTTTCAGTCACAACTGCCTTTTTATTCTTGACTAGAGGCCTGGTGCGTGAAATTTGTGCAGGGGGGAGGGTGTGTGTGTCCCTCAGCCTGGCCTGCAACATCTTGCAATCCGGATCCCTCTCGCAATCTGGGACTGCTGGCCCCTAACTGCTCACCTGCCTGCCTGCCTGCCTGCCCCAAAGCACTCTGCCTGCCTGATAGCCCCTAACTGCCTCTGCCTTGTGCCCCCCCCGCCCCCCCGGCACTGCAATGTGGCTTCATCTAGATTAGAAGTTTGTCCGGAAGGCTGTCTGGTCTAAGTAGCATATTACCCTTATATTATTATAGATTATTCTCTCAGCTATTTCTAGGCTTGGGTTCTTTGCACATTCCTTTCCCAGCACTTGCAGTGCTCTTCCTACCACCCCTCACCCGGCTCATTACCATTTATCTGGTAGGTCTCAGTTTAAGTGTCACTTTCTCAGAGACACTCTCTGATAGCAGCTACTTCTTCTCCTTCATAAACGTTTCACAATTAAGAATATATATGTTCAGTTGTCTCTTCCATTAGAGAGTAAATTCCTTGAAGCCAAGATAATGTCTATTATGTTAACCATTAAATATCTAGGGCTTAGTACAATGTCTGGCACAGACTAGGTGCTCTTCTTTTAAATGAACCATAGTGTCTAGCACAGTGTGAGGAAGAAAATAGGTTTTAAAATACTGTATAGTTACTTATGGAAAACCCCCTGCTGCCATTTAATTGTAAAAAAATCAGGGTCTTGTAAATTTAATATCATAAAACTGAATTCAGATATTATTCTCTACAACATAAAACCAACAGAGGCAAGTCATACTTAACCCACATTTCAGAGTATTTCTAGTTTTCTCCTGTCCTCTTGAAGATTGGGACAGGTCTGGGATCAGGGCAGGATTAAGCTAAGGGCTTTTCTATGGTTGGTACTTTAACATTCTTCTTCTTCCTCACCTGGGGACACAAAACACTCACCAGCAGGCTGTGACACAAAGCATGGAAATGCTGCTGATTTGTCTCTAGCTCATCCCAGTCCAGCTGCCAACAGCTTGTGGGTCTGAGGATGAATGGGAGACCATACGTCACTGACTCGCACATCCCACTGGATTTTAAAGCCCTGGGAAGAGATAATGGCAGTGAAAGTCTCCTCAGTGATAATAAGAACCTCGACCCAGACCCACTCAAATTCAGTAAGTCTAAGGCCCTATTGTGAAATCCTTTAGGTTAGGGACTATAAATTATTCATCTACGTATGGCCAGTGCCTAGCAAGGTATCTGGCACATAGCACATTCTAAAAGCCTGCTAATCAATGAATGAAGCAGCCATCATGAAGGCTCCAGACACTGTTGGCTATTTCTTCTCCTGAGCTCATTCCATTCTAAGTAACATCCCTGGAGACACTTCCATAATTCCCCTGTTACAGCAACCGTATAACACAATATGGTTATACCATCTGCTCCCCAGTCCTGGCTCTTTTGTGGTGACAGGATGCATCTAAGAAGAGCATGAATTTTAAAAGGCTCCTAGCAACATCCATGGTCACAAACCTATGGACGAGCTTACTCAGATACCTGTGCATGGGCACTGTGATAGGAACTAGGAAGCAATAAAAGTGGCCTTTGCCATCACTGACTTTCTGGATTTCCAGTCCTCATCCAGACCTCAGAGTGTCCTACTGAGGCACATCTCCATCATCTGCTCATTTGTCTCCATGTGTGGAACAGCTTGACTGCGCTTTCATGCCCACCCTAGTTGCTGCTTTGGTCCTGACTCCTGCCTGCCTGCAACTTGGGGATGTCCTCTATCTCTGGACTTTCTAGCCATGGAACCCATAGAATCAGCCTTTGCATGGATTGGGGAGGTTCCCATAACCCATACTTGATCACCCGGAGCTTGTAATAAGAGGCCGATGACTGGGAAGCCATCTGGTAGAGTGTGCTGAAGTCTCCTTTGGGGTCATCCATTTTCAGGGAGCCATCAGCTGTGCCAGGCAGTAGGGACGGGCTGAGAAGCCGCTCTTGGAGATCACATTTCAGGCACACTATAGTAAAAAAAAAAAGAAAAAAAAAAGGCATTGGGGGAAGGATGCTTGTCACAAGTTACCTCAGGCTATGTGATAACATCTGCCACCCATTCCACCTCCATTAGTAAAGTAAGAATTGGGAGAAGGCAGGAGAGTGGAAGGCAGGAGAGAAGAGAGGTTGGTTTGGGAAGGCAGAGCAGGTCTGGAGCCTACAGTATTGCACTACACAATAGGTAGCATTTTCTGGGTCTGACATGATTTTTACTTGTTTTACTTCTGGTTTGGCTGAGCTGTGCCTCATAGTGAGAAATCTGGCTTGTGATCCAGTCTGAGAGGAACGTGTGTCCTTTGGGGAGGAGGCAGCTAACACTACAGTATGCAGAGACCCTTTGGCAACCACACAAGGAAACGTTGCCTCTGCTGCTTCCCTGTGGCTAAACTTTGGCAAGATTACAGGTCAGATGAAAGCAGAGCAGGAAAGCAGAAGTCAGGCAGTCAGCTGACAGCCACTGTTCCTCTGTGGGCTCTTCTAGGGGCATTTGACACCAGGGAAAGAATAAGTTCCTGAAATAGTTTACTGTTAAATTCCCCAAAGAAACTAAAGTATGGAACCTTCTGAGCCTTGGAGCGTTACTGTGGCATTAGATCGCAATTCTGAGGGGGCCTCAACTAGGTATGAGTTTTTATTCATCAAGGTCTTATGCTCATCTGCATTAAGCTTTTGCTCCAGCAGGTGTGCTTACATGCCACAGTGAGTGTGCAATGTTCTGTTGCACTAAGCTTGGATCCTTGATATTACAAAGGTTTTCAATACAATTTATACTAGGTTTGAATACTGTTAATGAAGCTATGAATATACAAATGTGGAGTCCTTGTGAGAAGGCTAGTAGTTGATGTTGTAACTATACTAACTGCAACATGAGGTAAAAACAAAAGTAGAAATAAGGTAGAAAAAAATAGGATGACAGAATAGATGTCAGGTCCAGCTGGCCCTCCTGGGGTCAGCAATCAGACCTAGGTGTTAATTTTGGGTGAGACGCCTCTGGTGTGTTCCAGAGTCCAAGAAGTCAGTAGGAGGGAGTTTGCCTAGGACTCCAGCTTCCCCTCATTCCCGTGTGCCTGACTTCATTGTTGGGCCCCTGAGTTTTAGGATTGGACAGGTGTATTAAACTGGCTGAGGTTTTCAATTCTGTTGGAATTAAAAATCACCCAGGGAACTTTTAAAGGATACTGAACTCTATTTCACGCCAGTCAAATTGGAATCTCTGGGGATCAAGGTCAGCTGTTGGTATTTAAGAAAAGTTCTTCATGTGCTTTTTAATGCAGCCAGTGCTGAGAACTATGGGAACAATAGTCTTAGCAGTGTTTTCAAAGTTGTTTAAGTAGGTCTTGGGTCTACCAGGGGTGGGCAAACTTTTTGACTCGAGGGCCACAATGGGTTCTTAATCTGGACCGGAGGGCCGGAACAAAAGCATGGATGGAGTGTTTGTGTGAACTAATATAAATTCAAAGTAAACATCATTACATAAAAGGGTACGGTCTTTTTTTTTTTTAAGTTTTATTCATTTCAAACGGGCCGGATCCGGCCCGCGGGCCGTAGTTTGCCCATGGCTGGTCTAGACCAAGGCACGCTTCTCACCATACAGAACCTAGGTGCCAAGGTGGCAGACTACAAATCCAAGGAATGAGGAAAGGCACTCATCCGAAAGTGACTGTGCACTCTGTCCATCACAAGGAGGCCTCTGAGGGAAGCATCTATAGTGGGGTGAAGGGCCATAGGCAGCTACAGAAGAAGGTGGTATGGGGTGGAGCCCTTAAAGGAGGAGAACTTTATAAGGAGGGGTCAAAGTGAACATCTTAGGGGCAGTCCTCAAAAGATTCTGTTGTAGGAGAGCTCAGGGTTTTGTTTTGTTTCATTTTTTTTTTTTTTGGTAATGAGCCACATATGTAGAAATCCACGTGTGTGGCAATGCATTAGTTTTTAAAACAATGGGTAACTACAGTCTGGTCTTTATGGTGGTTGCATAAACTCTTAGGTGGGTCCTACCTAACGCTCAGTAGGTCTACTTTCCCCAGACCTCATTCCAACTATGTCTGAGCATCTGGATGCCAGTGAAGTCCTCCCCAGCAGAAGAGCTGATGAGTCTGGATCTAAGTTCTACCATGCACCATGAGAATCTATGGATTGCTGAAAAATGGTTGTAGATGAAGACAAACATTCGGGCTCTGATCATGGTGCTGAAAGTCATGGAAAGAGAGAGGGCAAAATAGAGAAGTTCTCAGTGGTACCATGAGCAAATGCTGTGCAACATTGGAAGAAAGGCTGGTTTCAAGAGTTCCTAGCCTTTGAGCCCCCTTCTCTCCTTAATAAGAAAAGTGAATCTCTAGCCTCTTTGTTTAGAATTACCCAGCACGAGGCAGGCTGAGTAGTAAGGACATGCCCCAGCTCTGGAAGTAGATAGACTTGGTATATCTTTCCCTTTGGGGCCAGGAGTCTGAACCCATTTTGAACAACTCCAGACACACCTCTCCCTTTGAAGCGGGGCCTTCAGGAGTCAGACCCAGAAAATGCTACCTATTGTGTAGTGCAACATTGTAGGCTTTTCCAAACTGAGTGTGGCTGACTGTACTGATGGGCCCATTTGCAGGCCCTTGTCACCCTGGGTCCTGAGCCAATCTTTAAAGGGGATAGAGACTAGAAATGGCCTTACCCCTATCATCTATTGGGACCTGGAATGAAGTATCCCTACCAGACAGAACAATATCCAGGGCCATGTTGGCATGTTCAAAACACTGACTGAATGTACTTTGTGAAATGGTCTTGGGCCTCTAGATATCCTCTCAGGGGCCTGCCTTGGTAGTTGCTTTTGATGTCTTCCTATCCAGAAGACCTCTATTTATATAGTTTTTAAAATTTGATTTTTTTAGAGAGGAAGGGAATGGTGGGGGGGGGGAGAGAAAGAGAGAGAGAGAGAGAGAGAGAGAGAGAGAGAGAGAGATCGACTGCCTCTTCTACCACCTGACCCCTGACCAGGGAGGGATCGATCTCTCAATCTGGGTATGCACCCTGACCTGGAATTGAACCAGCGACCCTTTGGTACATGGGGCAATGCTCAACCAACTGAACCACATCGGCCATGGCCAGAATACCTCTATGTAATATTGGTTTAGTCTTGGTTCTTTTCTCTACTCACAGGCCCTGTTGATATTGTTGAGGTGCCAGCATGCCTCAAATTATAGTGCCATGAATATCTATCTCATTAATAAGAAAAAACTTGAGAAATACATGATTTACTGTGCTCTTATGCAACATAGCTGCTGTCCTGTTATTGAGATGTCTAAGTCTTTGCCTCTAAACTAGCAGTCCTTGCTATCTGGGCTTAATTACATTCAGTTTTCTAATCAGTTACTTTTTAGAAATTTTCCTACTCTGCCTGCTTATACTGGACAACTTCATCCAAATCCTCCTCTAATCCCTAAACCTCAAGGACTCTGTATTCTGATGACTCACCAATCTTGAGTACTAATCCTAGACTAGGATAATCATAGCCTATATAGTATGTTTTCTTAGGAGTGTATACTTGGCTTATCTCTGGCTCTGGAAATGTTGCTGAAAGACTGTGAAGGAAGAAGAAGATGAATATGTTCTTGGTCTGTTCCACTGTTATGCAGCCAGGCTTTGAAGAAAACCTCCATGCTGACAACATCATTGTCTATAGTCTGAAGGTCAATGTCAGTTCCCAGGAAAGAGCTTTCTGCAGAATAAAGGGAAAGAGTAGTGAAAGTGTTTAACTCTTTAATTGTAAGATTTGAAAAATATAACATTTTAAATGCACCATTTTTTGACCCATCAATTCTACCTCTAGATATCTAGCCTATAGACATTCTTGGATAGCACACAAAGAGACATATGCAAAGATGTTCAGCACAGTATTGTTATAATAACCAATAATCAAAACCTAAACAGGAAGAAATTCAAATGCCCACCAATATGGGAATATTTAAATAAATTATGGCACAACCAAACTATGGAGTATTATGCAGCTGTTAACACACAAAGTAAAGCTAAATGTGCTGACATGGAAAGCTGTGAGGTAGTAAGTGAATAAAGAAAGTTGTAGAACAGATGTACAGTATGAGCCCATTTATATAAAAATAAAACTAATGGCCTAAGTACATACTTGTGTATGTAAATGTATTTTACAAAGGTCTGGATGGCTACCATCAAACTTAACAGTGGACAGGAGTAGAAATGGGGCAGTTCTGAAATACATTTCTTTTTACTATTCATATTTCTATACTGTTTGAATTTTATTTTAATCATGCATTTCTTATATTTAAAATGCATTCTAGAAAAAAAAACAGTAAAATAATACAGCAATGTAAGTTAAATAGTTAACAAGGGGGAACTTCAGCTTTATGTTGTTGTTTCATAGTGAAAATGTATTCAATTATTACTTCTTTCATAAAAATAAAATTTAAAAGGATGAAAACAACAACAAAAAGATGAACTCTTGGGCCCTACCTTTTGACACAGATTATACAAGTTTGTCATTGGTGTGCTGTATCTCACAAGTGTGATTAGCAGCCCAGAAGACAGAGATAGAGGAGTATGATTTGATACCAAATATGAATGAATGGAGCCATGTGGGCGGGTGAGGAGGCTCTGCTAGTCTACTTCCTGTTTCAGGCAACACTAGCCCAGGAACTGGGATTTGGGTCTGCAGGTAAAGGTTGTCAGTAAAAGCCAAATATAAGGTGGTGGAGGAAATGAGGCAGGAGCTGGAAAGAACTTTGTTTTTTTTCTTTCCTGACCATGAGGGGCTCTCTGAAATACTTTTACAAAGAGCCTAAGAAAATTCTGTTGCTCCAATGAATTAACTTCTGTGTATGACTCATGAACCCCAGGGAGAAGGCTGGTTTATTTCTAGAACGACATTCCTGAGGACAAGTATGCAGAGGTGGCAGACTTTCCACAGGGAACAAAGGGCTTCAGTCCAATGTGTTGGTACCCACACAGGGGAGGTGTGGTGAGACCTAGATGACTTCACATCATATTGAATGACTTATTCTTTGGCTGAAAAGGGGCATCACATGCATTTCTCTTGTGACATGTGTGAAAGAAACCCTACCATCTTCTGTGGATAGTTACAAGGATTCATTAGTGAATTAGTTATTTCATTCATTTAAGCAGTAATATTTATTATGTAGAACATGGAAGATTAAATACCACACAGTGTACAAAGATATATGAAATATATGGTACTCTGTGCTCTTTTGGAGTTTATAAAGCAACATTATATACATTTTTAAAAGGAATATTTATTGCAGTTATAAAGGAATATTATTCTTTTTTTTAAATCCTCACCTGGTGATATGTTTATTGATTTTAGAGAGAGAGGAAGGGGGGGGGAGAGAAAAAAACATTGATGTACAGTGAAACATTGATCAGTTGTCTCCTGTATGCGCCCTGACTGGGGATTGAACTTGCAACCTTGATGTATTGGGACAACACTCTAACCAACTGAGCTACCTGGCCAGCACAGGAACATTATTCTTGACCATTCCTCCTTAAACTCTACTGCAGTGATAAATATGAAGTCATTGTCAAAGGGATATTCATCATAAGTTAAGAGAAATGTTCTTTTATTTTTATTTTTGAAAGGTTCTTTTAAATAATATGAATCTTATTTTGTCACAGATAAAACAAGAAATAATTTAGATTTCTGAGCCTGGACTTCACCTTGAATGACATATGGAAATGACTGAACAGCTTCTCTTCAGGGAGGCAAAATAATTATTAAAACATATGGAGGCAGATACAGAACTACAGAAATGAAATTGAGCAAAGGATCTCAGAGAACAGAAAGGATAATATTACTTAGAGTTCAAACAACAGGATTTTGAAGAGAAAAAGTGTTTCATTTTCTCTCCCCAGGGATAGGATAGAAGAGTAGAAACTCCTCCCATGGGCCATATAAGGAGACAACAAGAAGTTACTCCCAGCAAGAATCTGGACATAAAATTAGAGGTTTTCCTCAGGTAGTTAAACCATAAAATCAACAGAGTGGTGAGATTCCCCCCCCCCCCCCCCCCACTGATCTTAAGAAAGGAGAATGGTTTACTGACCAGAGCAAGATTGGGCTGGAGCCTATGGATGGCACTGGCTTACCCAAAGGATGAATGTGCCCCTTAGAAGGGGAGAGGGTTGGCCAGAAATGGAGCATAGAGAAAGGCAGCAACAGGGACACACACTGACAGCATTCATCCCAGAGTGGCTCAGTGGAGAGGGCGTGCTGGCTCAGTGATGTGTCCCAATGGCAGCATATGTTTGTCAGGTCTCTGCTCCCTTTGCTGATGATGATGGTTATGATTCTCTCTCTAAAATATTCTGGTTTATACTTTGGTCTTGAGTTTGATAGGGCGAGTCTATCTCTTAGAGGGTGCTGACAAAATAGCTTTCCAATCCTGCAAAGCTGAAGAACCAAGCCTGAAACATGGCATCTCTATGAAGGATAATGACAGTCTTCCCTGCAGATACCATCAACATTCCTGAAGTTTTTTCCAATTTCTCAACCTACAGGTTCTTTTTGGGAGAGCCACAGAGCAGAATTTCTTTCTTTGAAAACGTGCTCATGTAATTTCCACCCAGACACTGTGCAACAAGTTCGAGTCTGCAGTTTTGCAGGCTCAGGAGGGAGTCAGCAGCTTCTCAGAGACAGTCACGTGGTCTAAACTAACGGCTAATGTGTAAAAAGCAGAACACCCTAGAGGGAGAACTTCTTTTTCATTTTCGGTCAGTGGAGTAGGTCTTGTGCCTGGACCATGGCAGTAACCATTTCGCTGTCCTATCAGGCGCCATTCCTTCTCCTCCATACGTACTACTACCAGCCAAAGTTTCTAAGGTATGGTTTCATCAGATGCCACCGTTGCTAAAGGGTACATCCTGCCTTCCTGCTCTCATCTTCTTCATTCCCCTCACTCGTCCTATACCATTGGCGATATTCATTACTCCTCAAATACCTGGCCCTTCCCTTTTTCTATGATGGCTCACAGGATTCCTCCGTCTCCGCCTGTTGAGATCCCATATTCCAATCCCCCTCAGGTATTTTGCATGGAGCTGAAGCTTAGCAAATGCCTGTTGAGTTAAACAATAAGTTGAACAATTGCTTCCTCCTTCTCAGCTCTCATTAATTTTTCCTGTAACTCTTCTGCTTCAGCTAAGTTAGCCTCCTTACCTCATGACTTCCTTCCTTAGTGCTTTTATTACTCTGTCAATCTATGGCCTGCACCTCCCCCAGAATTCAACTCAGCGAGCGCTGACTTTGTCCCAGAAGCCAGCTTAATTACATCCTTCCTTATTCAGTTTTAATCAGCATCCCCTGGATATCTGTGGGCTTCATTTGGTCAGTGCAAACTATACTTGTTCATTGGTTTCTTCTGAAGGTTTTTTTTTTCTGTGAGGTTTTGAAACGTGGTAGTAGAAAGACCAGGGTTTGAGTTGTGACTTGAAAGTTGTTAGCTTTGTGACTTTGAGCAAAGTGGGGATGGTACAACTTATTTCAGTGATAGTGAGGCATAAGAAGTGAGATGATTATGAATAACATGCAGTAGGTTAAACAAATGGCATTTTCTTCCTTTACTCTTCATCAACAGAATGATTTGCTTTTATAGGACAAGAATGTGCTTTCCTTCTTAAGACATTTTCTCCTGTCTCTTCCCTTGGTGACTGCTTCCTCCCCACCACCAACATAACTAAGAACACCAACATTTAGTGCGGTGTCCCTCACAGGTACAGCTCAATGTGCTAAACCTGGGGATGGGGAGGAGACTTCTCACTTCTCAGATGTTGAAGAGCAGCTCCCACATTGACTGAGCAGGGCACTGGGCACTGGATAAACCAGGTCCTCCTGAGGGTATGAAATAAAAAGGTTACCAGAGTGAGGGTGCAGGCAGCTCTAAGTGTGTGGGTGGTTAAGACAAGCGAGGAAGGCCTGATTCACTGCAGCTGATACAGCAGCCAGCATTCACATTCAGTTTTTGGACTTATCCTGCCCCACTGTGGCCACAAGCAGTAACAGCCTTCATTGAGGTTCCCCCTCTACCCCCAATTTCCTCTTTTCCTTTCCTTTTCTTTTTTCTTTCCTTTTCTTTTTTCTTTTCTTTTCTTCTATTTCCTTTCCTCTTTTCTTTTCTTCTCTCTCTCTCTCTCTCTCTCTCTCTCTCTCTCTCATTTATTTTATTGTTGACAGTATCACAGATGTCTATTTCTTTATTGTACTTTCTGAGAGATTTCCATGACCTTATCTTTCAACATTTAAACTAAAAAAATATTTCTCTTATTTTAAATTTTCATCAAGAAGCAAGATTTTTTTGTTCTGTTTTTTATAACTTCCTTTTAAAAAACTTTAAAAATTAAATTTATTGGGGTGACATTGGTTAATAAAATTATATATGTTTCAAGTGTACAATTCTATAATACATCATCTGTATATTTCATTGTGTGTTTACCACCCAAAGTCAAATCTCCTTCCGTCATCATATATTTGATCCCTGTTACTCTTCACTATTTCACCCGTTTCCCCCTGGTAACCACCACACTATACTGTTGTCTGTGTTTATGAGTCTTTGTTTGTGTTGTTTGTTCATTTGTTGCTTTCAGTTTTACATTCCACATATGAGTGAAATTGTATGGTTCTTAACTTTTTCTGTCTTACTTATTTCAAATATAAATAAGCATGAGTTCTTTTTAAGC